ACTTTTTACATAATTTCTACCACAAAACGCATTATGAATTATTGCTACAAAATATTCTAAGTTACATATTGAAAAAAGCATCATAAGCAAAACCATTAAATAATCTGCAATTTAAAAGTCTGTTCACTTCTATTAGAATAATAAATAACTTAAATAATACACACAAACACACATATATAATAATTTTTTTCTTGAGTGAATGAGCAAAACCTTCAGATGTATTTATACATTGCTTCTACCACAAAACGCATTGTCAATTATTGACTATCTACAAAATGTTCTAAGTTACATATTGAAAAAAAGCAAAATAAGCAAAATGACTGTGATATATGTTACCATAAAATAATCTGCCATTTAAAAGTCTGTTAACTTCTATTAGAATTATAAATACCTTAATATACACGGTCACACACACACACACATATATATATATATATATGTGTGTGTGTGTGAAGACATTTAAAATTGTATGAACTTAACCTTATATTTCACATATTTTCTTTTTTTTTTTTTTTTACACCCATGTAACCTGCAGTAGATACAAACGTGAACGCCAAGAGCCACCAAGAGAAGAGCAGTTCATACCATGTTGAGTTTCTGGAACAGGCAGAGGAAGCCTCCGAAGGTCAGAATCATTAACAGCAGTAGCATCACTGACAAAAACTTGACTAAAGGTGAGTTGCCCGCTGGCTGACGTTTGCTGTATCCTGCCCGTGGAGGCACCGGTGGGGGATTGTAGCTACTGTGAAAGGTGTTTATCATGATGAAGAGAGGACGAGTTGACAAGAGAAGAGACGTGTACTCCAGTGGCACCCATGCAGTTCTGAAGAGCTGCTCTCAACGCAAGCTGCTCTAAACTTCCTGAAAGATGTCACCTTTTCAGATCGGCTGAGACTTACGCCATACGTGTTTGTGCGCAATTTGGCGTAAATAAGCATGCATTCTCATACCAAGTACTAGAAAGGTCTGATTCCATGAGGTCACACATTTTTTTTGCACAAAGGTCACCGTCTTTGCAGATTCTAAATCTGCAGTTTAAATGTTCTGTTTTCTGCCTTTAACAGATTTTGTGAATAAGTATTTGTAAAGATTTTTTAAAATGAACATATCAAAACTTCACAAAGTCACAAAATGTATGAATAGCATTGCATTAGATAAAAATAGCAAACCAAGTGGCATCTTTACAAACAAATAATGTTAGATCTTTTCTCAGAAATAACTTTTCGGAGCAATTTTTGCAATTACATTTAACCAACTGATTCCAAAGTGATTTTTAATGAATGTAAGAAGACGTTCCTCCTCAAGTTCACACAGGTGTCCTATCAGAGGAACCATAGTTCATCACATTGACTATGAACATGATCCGCTAATATTTGACAAACACAAAATGTCCAAATACTTTTTGTCTTTATTTAGTCAAATGCAATGATATGTATACATTTTTAAGCTTGACTTAAGTGTCCAAATACTTTGGGGCTTCTTTATTTTTATTTTTGGAGAGTACTCACAGCCGTGAGTATAAACATAGGAGAAACACATATGAAACCTGTTATTTATGAGCCATAACTATTTTCGTTTGATAATCAAGGTCGATAAGTTACTAGTTTACCACATCTATAAAAGATCCTCGAAAATATATGAAAGACATGCTTTTCATTTTGGCTTTTGGCTTATACATAGCTGCCAAATTTTGACCTCATTTTAACCACCAACCGGTGGTCTCTGCTACAGTAGGCTACCTATTCTCATAACTCCACTTGATCATTCCTGACATCTGTTTAAAGCATACATTGCTGTAGCTGTAAATGAGTGAGCATCTCTGTATAGGTTTATAGTATGTGTAAGAGTTTGTTAAACATTTTCTCTTTTAATTGTTGGACCTTCAATGCCACCTTAATGTTGGTCATAAACTATGCTTTACATAAAAACAAAAACGTTTATCATTCAAATGTAGACTGTCGACAATAGAAAATGCTGATTATCTAGTATCGATCAATTTTTTTGCAAAAGAAAAACACACAACAGGTTTCACACGAGCTGCAGCGTCTAACCTCAGTTCCACTCCCACTGATTTTTTTCAGTCCCTCTGCCAGGGCTCACATTTTCCGAAGTCATCAGTATTATTTCAAACGCATACTTTATAGATTAGAAAATTATCTTCACCCACAAGGCATGAAAGGACACAGCTGGGACCTGTCATCAGACCTTTATTATTAAAGGGGTCATATTTAATATTTTGCTAAAAATAACATTATTTTGTGTATTTGGTGTAATGAAATGTGTTTATGCGGTTTAAGGTTAAAAAAAAAACATTATTTTCCACATACTGTACATTATTGTTTCTCCTCTATGCCCCGCCTTTCTGAAACGCTCGATTTTTACAAAGCTCATCGTTCTGAAAAGTGAGGTGTGCTCTGATTGGTCAGCTATCCAGTGCGTTGTGATTGGCCGAATACCTCAAGCGTGTGACAGAAATGTTACGCCCCTTACCATATTGTGATGCCCTGTCCGGCCGGAGCGACGAGACAAAAACATTAAAACCCATTGTGGGGACATAATTACAGATTATAATGACATATACTGTATTTTTACGCATTGCGTTGCGTATCGCGCTGCGTAAACATAAAACCATGTCTGCATTTGTGATCGGACAAACAACAAGCCCTACTTTACACTTCCCAAAAAACTCGCTTTAAATATATAAAATATAAAAACTCTTTAAATATAAAAAAC